GGGGCGGCGGGGTTGGGGCTTGGGTCGCTCCGGGCGCTTTTCCGCCCGGCCGCTTGGGGAAGCGGATACCGAGGGCGACGCAGGCTCCCAGCCTCGGGAGGGGGCCGGGGCGGGAGCCGGAGGGACCCAGGCTCGGCCCGGGATGCTGCCCTTGAAGTTTCCGGGAGGAGGAGGCGAGGGGGCAGCAGCCTCGACATCCGAGGAAACTGAGGCCCAGAGAGCGGCTGGAACCGCTGGTGGTCACGTGGCCTTTCCGGGCAGGGACGCGACCCCGGGGCACCCTGCCACCCCGGGAAGGGGACGGTCACCCGCAGAGAAGGCGTCCAAACCCTGGCTGCTCCGGGGACGTTTCCTCCGATTAGCGATTAAACGCATAGGATGGATTCACAGGGTTGCAAAGGAAAGCGGTTATACTGACAGTTGCCAGGATTCTGTCTGGGAACCGGGGGTCAGTTCGCAGCCCGGGTGCTCCATTATTCATGCCTGGAAAGCCGAGGTTTAGTGGCGGATCTGCCTACTGCTGTGACTTTGAAGGAGTGAGAAGTGGACACGTTCCTTTACAGAGTTGGCTACAGCGTCTATGTCGAGGTTAGGAAACCACTGTCATTTCTGTTGGTGAAAAGCCTCGGTCTCGCTAATACTGCTGTGGTTTTGGCTACACTCAGATTTTAAGGAAAGGCCAATTTTCAGTAAGACGTTGGTGACAATAAAGAGGGTATTTTTCTTTCCTGTGCAAGCTCACCGGCCTGCTGAATCCTCACCAGCGGCCCCTTGCTAAGAATGTCTGGTCCAGAGGCTGGAATTCCCTCACCTTGGAGGTGAAGGGCATTTACTGTGCTGTGAGATTACCCAAAGCCCTACATTTTCAGGTGGGGGAGCTGAGGCTCAGAGAGGAGCAGCTTGCACAAGAGTCTGGGGCTGGGCTGTTGGCCTGGACTCCTTGCCCAGCCTCTGAAACCCCGGAACTCCCAGCCCAGGGCTTGGAGCCTCGCTGATGTCTATGGGTTTGTTGACTTGACACATGCCTGTCAGGCTGAGCCAAGGCCGAGACAGACACTGGGGGAACCCAGGGAAGCCCTAGCATCAGGGGGAGGCAGGCACCACAGGAGGACATGTGGATAGAGATAGAACAGGGTGACAGGATCTGGAGGGCCTGTGGAGCTAGTGTAGACCCAGGCATTTGAGCTGAAAGCTGCCCCATGAGAGGGGTGCTCCAGGCAGAGGGGACAGCAAGTGCAAAGGCTCTGAGACAGGAGAGACACTGACATTCCTGAGGAAAGGGAAGGTGGCTCTCACGTGGAGTGTGGGGTTGGAAGCAGGGGAATGTCTGGTTCACATTCTGAAAGATCACTGTTTTTTTCTTTTGGCTACACCTTGTGGTTTGCGGGATCTTAGCTCCGAGACCAGGGATCAAACCCAGGCCCCCTGCAGTGGAAGCACGGAGTCCTAACCACCGGACCACCAGGGAATTCCCCTGAAAGATTGCTCTTTATCAATTGTTTGTTAAATGGAATGTAGATAGACTGAGGGTGAGAGGGCGGGTGCACCACATGGGGGGCCTGACGGGCAAACACCTGGAGGCTGGACCGTCTGGGCCGTTTGTGGCCTCTGGTACTGCCACAACTCACTGCCCCCACCCTGTGGTTCTTTCTGCAGCTCCTGGCCTGCTCCGGGGGATCCTTGCTCTTCGGTGAGTGCCTGCCTGCCTTGCTGCCTGCGTGTCTGCATCTCTGATCCTGACACCCCCCAGTGAGGCCCTGGCAGGGAGGGGCTCAGAGGGGGCTGTCAGGGGGCCTCAGATCTGGGCGGGCCCTCCATCAGCACCAGGCTAGGGGCCACCTGGCATCCAGCCCCACGTGTGCCTGCCCTAGTACCCTCAGAGCCCAGTCGCTACCTGGCGCACGAAAGGCATTCAGCACATGTGCTCTGATGGCAGCCCCGTGTAGGCCTCCTTGGGGCAGGAAGGCAGGTGGCTGCCAGGCCCTCGGATTTGGGCTGAGTTTGTTTTGATAAGGCCTTTTTCCTACGAATAAAATACACACTCACTGCAAAGCAAAGGGAAGACGGGGAAAATGAGGGAAGTATCAAATGAAAACCAGGCAGTCTCTAGACCAGGGATCAGCAGATTTTTTTTTTCCTCAAAGGGCCAAACGGTAAACATTTTTGGCTCTGCCTCTAAAAATAGTCCCAGACACCAAGGAAGTGAATAGGTGTGGTTATGTGTCAATAAAACTTTATTTACAAAAACCGGCAGTGGGCTGGGTTAGACCCCCTGGTCAGTTTCCCCATCCTGGCCCCGGGGTAACCCTGTCACAGCGTGTTGAGGCGCCCTGGGCTGCTAGTCATGGGCAGTCTGTCTCCCCGCAGCTCCGGCGTGGGCGCAGCTCTGCAGGTGCGCGGGGTCCATCCGAGCTCGGCTGCTGACAGCCCGAGCAGGTGAGGTCAGCCTTCCCGGGAGCCCACACACCCTGAAGTCCCCCCATCCCCCCACCCCAGCACAGCAGCAGCCTGTGGCAGCTCCGGGGCACTCCCACCACCCAGCGGGGTATGTAAGGGGGTCCCTGCCCTCAGAGTCCTGCCCAGCCCTCTCCTGTGCGCCCAGGCCAATGGCTGCACAACTCCTGACCAGGAGGGCCCTCGCTAAAGAGTATGTCAGCCGAGCCTGTTTTCCAGACGGGGAAACAGTCCCCGAGAGGACAGGGTCCTGCTGGGCCTCAGTGAGGCGATAGAGGCCTGTCCACACCATCTTTCGCTCCGGTGTTGAGCAGGCATGTCCTGCCCCAGGCCGGGGTGCAGGGACGCTGCAGACCTGGCCTCATGGCTACTCCCAGTGCTGCTCTGGGGACCCGCCGTGACCATGGCTTTGTCCTGCCCTCGGAGAGGCTGCTCTGGGCTGGGCCCGGCCGGGATACCTGCCTGGCTGACGCCTCCCCTTGCTTTGTGTCCCGTGCCCAGCACCCACCCCGCCGTGTCCCAGGCCGGAGCCGTGGCCCCCAAACCCGCCGCCTTTCCCAGCAGCCGGGGCGAGTATGTGGTGGCCAAGCTGGATGACCTCATCAACTGGGCCCGCCGGGTGAGCCCCTCCTCGTCTGCGTCCGTGGGGCCCCCTCTGGCTGCTCAGCCACACTCCCATGGCTATGGAGTGGCCCAGACTCCCCCAGGGCCCCTCCGTGTGGGGACCTGTGGCTTTGATTCTGTCTCAGGACTCCTGCTCTGCCCCCAGCAGTTCCTGGCCTGACTTCCCTCGGTGCTCCCTGCAGCCCGCGTCGGCCCCCAGAGAAGACGAGCCGCCTCCCTCCTGTTCTCCTTTCCTCTTCTGTTCATTCCTCTCGTCTCTCAACGTAAAACCCATGTTTTTAACTGGAAATACACTATGTAAACAGTAGCTCCTTCCCAGCAAATATCCTAATCCCCCGCCCCACCCCCACGTTCGCCGTGGGACAGTCTGCGTGCTCACGTGCTTGTCTGTGTCTCCCCCCAGACATGTGTCCTCTGTCCCAGGACAGTGGTTCCTTTCAGTGCTCTCGGGGCGCCCAGCTGAGTAACAATCCCCCATTGACAGGCGGGCTGGTGCTGTCCTGGTGTCTGTGTGTGACCAGCGAGTCCACAGCGAGTGTCCCTCCAGGCCCACAGCTCCAGGGCGGCGATGGTCGCTGTGGCCGTGCACTGTGGAGTCATGGCCCTGCCGTGTTGGGCAGCCCTTGCCTGCTGTGTGACCCGAGCCCTGTCACCTGAACTGGGACATCCACAGGGCAGCAGGGACCTTGGCCAGATCCCAGACTGGACACATACAAGCAGAGAAAGCTCTGGTGGAGAACAGCTTGTGGGTGGGGGTAGGGGCGATATCAGGCACCAAAGGATGGAGAGAAGTCAGGGCATCCAGGAGGGCTTCCTGGAGGAATTGGCACTTTGAGTCCAGGTGGTGTTGGGAACAAGACCCTCCAGGGTGCTGAGCCCCAGGGTCTAGACCTGTGCGGTGTGTGGCCACTGGGCACTCAGAGCAGCAAGTGCCCATGTTCGAGGCCGGGATTTAGGATATGCTGGGTTATGTGGACTATATTATTAAAGCTAATTGCACTTGGTTTTATTTTTGTCTGTTTTTCTTTTTGGTAATGTGGCTGCTGGGAAGTGTAGACCCACGGGCCTAACTCAATTGGCCTTCCTGTCACACAGTACCTGGGCTGGGGCATCAGCCTCAGGCCGATGATCAGTGTCCAGGGCGGCCTTCGGGGTCTGGAGGTCACATGGTTGCTGTGGGCAGGGCCCAGAAAAGGCTAGAAACAGATTTTTCTATGTGAAATCGTCCAACTTCTTTAAACACGGTGGGCCACTTGTCCACTCACGGGCCGACTGCCCCACCCTGCAGAGCTCCCTGTGGCCCATGACCTTTGGCCTGGCCTGCTGTGCCGTGGAGATGATGCATATGGCAGCGCCCCGCTACGACATGGACCGCTTCGGCGTGGTCTTCCGCGCCAGCCCCCGCCAGTCCGACGTGATGATTGTGGCTGGGACGCTCACCAACAAGATGGCCCCCGCGCTCCGCAAGGTGGGCCCCACCGCCAACCCCCCCAGTCCCCTCCCCCAACTCCCTCCCTCCCCTCCTCCCAGCCCCGCCCCCGCCCCAGGCTCCAGCTGCACACAGACCCCTGTCTCTTCCAGGTCTATGACCAGATGCCAGAGCCTCGCTACGTCGTGTCTATGGGGAGGTGAGTGCCCGGCGGGGCGGGGGCTTCAGCAACAGACATGCCGGTGACACGCTGGCTTGTCTCTTCCAGTCTCATTTCTGTGCTTCTTTCTGATCGGGGTTGTCCAGAACGTCCCTTCTGTCCGGTTATAGTCGCTCCCTCACCCCAACAGCCTGTCCAGTTTCGTTCTGTTTCTCTGTGTTATGACCACAGGAAGGACGTCCTGCTTGGGGGGGCGTTGCAGCCTCCTCACCGTCTAGCCAGCACCTCATTTCTCCACATCATTAAAAGCCATTTAGTCACCTGGCTTTTTTGGTTGAGGTAGAATTCACATACTACAAAGTTCACCCTTTCAAAACGTACAATTTTGTGGATTTTAATGCATTCTTAGTGTTGTGTAATCATCACCTCTTATCTAATTCCAGAGCATTCCATCACCCCAATAGAAGCCCTGTCCCCATCAGCAGTCACTCCCCACCCCCTCCCCCAGCCCCTGACAACCAGGAACCCACTCTCTGTCTGTGGACAGGCCTGTTCTGGACGTTTCCTGTCAATGGAATCACACACTGTGTCCTTTCACATCTGGCTTCTCTCACTGAGGGTCATCTGTTCACAGTCCCACTGTTTGTTTCTGTCCTACCGGGTCCCACAGAAAGTCTCAGGTGGCCGCTGTCTTTCCTGTGACTTGTGTCCCAGTCTTGCCCTTTCCTGACCGCCTGGCACCTGCTTGAGGTTGGAAGTGGGTGCGGGTTGGGGGCTGCAAGGAGGGACGGAGGCCGGGGTCGCTGGAGAGGCTCTCACGGCTGGCGTTCCCCTCCCCACCAGCTGCGCCAACGGAGGTGGCTACTACCACTACTCCTACTCTGTGGTGCGGGGCTGTGACCGTATTGTGCCCGTGGACATCTACGTCCCAGGTGAGCCCCCAGGTGGCGCCCACGCGGCCCTCACCCGATTCACAGAATCCCCACAGCCCCACTGAGACAGCTCGCCCCCTTTTAAGTATAAGCAGATTTGGGTACAAGAATAAGAGTGACACCGCAGCCTTTCCCCCTCGCTGTCTCCGGAGGGTCTCCCAGTCTGAAGAGTCTGCCCCCATTCCTTTCCAAGGGTCCTCACCGGTCGCTGGCGTGGCCTGGGGGTTGGCAGGCAGCCCACATTGTCCTCCCGGGTCCCGAGCCGGGTCATGTGGCGGGAGGGCCAGGGACAGGGCAGCTCGGCCTGGGAGGGATAGCCCAGGCCTCCCTCATCCTGGCTGGGAGTTCGGCCCTGGGGTCAGCAGCTGCCCACCCTGCCCCCCTCTGGCTCCTTTCCCGTGATGGGCCAAGCCCCCCAGCTCTCTTGGTGCAGACCTAACGGGCTGCTGGGGCAGAACCCTGTCTTGCCCCTCCCCGCCCTGGGAAGTGGCCTGGCTGCCCCCACCTGGAGCAGAGCGGAGAGGAGGGGGAAGGGCAGGAAGACTGAGGTGCCCCCGCCCCCCAGGCTGCCCGCCCACAGCCGAGGCCCTGCTCTACGGCGTCCTGCAGCTGCAGAAGAAGATCAAGCGCGAGAAGAGGCTCCAGATCTGGTACCGCAGGTAGAGCCGCTGCCTGGCCGCCCTGCGGCGTCTGTGCCGTTACCCCAGAGGCGGTCAATAAACCCCATAAATCCGCCTGGCTGCCCTGCTCCACGGAGTGTGTGGGCCGCGGTGGGGGCCGGGAGGTGGGCGGGGCGAGCGCTGCTTGGCGGGGTCAGGCCTGTCTCTTGTGCATGGAGACGCCGAGGCCCCTGGAGTGGACAGCCGGGCCCAGCGTGGCCCAGTGGGAGGCCCCACCCATGAAGGAGGGGAGTGGACGCGTCCAAGAGCGGGTCAGGGTGAAGCAGACGACACCGCGGGGACCAGCTGGGCACCAGGGTCCAGGGCAGACGGATCCAGGGTGTCCCTGTGCTAGGGCTGGAGGGGCGTCGACTCAGAGTGAGGCATCATGGTGCAGCCTGACTGGGTGGGACCAGAGGGTCTGGGCCTTGGGGCTGCCACCTGCTATGAGGTCCTGACCTAGTTCCACCTCCTCTGGGGACCCCAGCTGCCCACCAGAGGGAGGGCGGGAGGGGCCATGGGTGACTAATTGGCAATGTCTTCAGTGGGCACGGCGGGGGGCTCAGAGGCAGGATCAGAAACTTTGGAATGGTATAGCCACTGTCTTGGTGGTGGTCAGTTTAACAGGTTTCCTTCCTTTCACTTTTTTTTGGAGGGGCAGGAAGAGTAAAGCAAGCACACGTTTGTGTCCTTGTGCTGATTGGCTAAATCCAGTGTTAGTGTTTATTTCATTCTCAGGACCATGGTAGGAAGGGAGTGGCCGTCCCCTTGCAGAGAAGGTTAGGGAAGCTTGCTGATTCATGTGGCTGGTGTGGGTCTGGTCCAGGGCTGAGGGGCCAGAGCCTGCACTCCCGGCCATGAAGGCGCTCAGTACGGGCCTGGGGGTTAGGGGTTCCTGAAGCCCAGAGCCCCCAGGGTGGCGTGGGCAGCTGAGCCGGTGGGCCCAGTGGGCTCAGTGCTTGGTGACCAGGGGCGTGATCATCTGCGGGAAGGCGTAATAGCGGCAGTCGGCCGGTGGGACCAGCTCCATGACCTGTGTGTGGATGTTCTCTGGCCGGAAGCCTGCTTCCAGCAGGGCTGGCACCTGTGTCTCCTGGCCAGAGGGAGGTGCCGAGTCACTTCCAGGGCCCTGGGGCCTCAGGAGGCACCCTGCCAGCCACCCCTACAAGTGCCAAGGCCCTTGGGGGCTGGGCAGGGCTGCTAAGAAAATGCTGAAGCCCAGGTCTGGGTGGGAATCTCCAGGTGTCCACACACAGCTTCCTGGCTGTCATGGGGTATCACCAGGCTGCTCACCCGTACGTCCTCGCAGGCAGAGGGAACCGAGTGGGCAAAGGCCCAAGACAAGGGGTGGCTAGACCCATAAAGATGCACCCTGGGTGGACAAGGGCAGAGTGAGGGGATGCCGCTGGGGACCTTGGGCTGAATCCCTGTATCCTGAGGGCACTTGGGAGCCATCTAAGGTCCTTGAGCTAGGGAGAAACCTCTCCTGACTTACAAGTGGAGGCTCAGAGTCCACCCAAGAGATGACCCCCCAGGGCCAGAGGCAAGGGACCCTCCCCAGGTCTCAGGTGACCCCACCTGCCTCCCCACCCAAAGTCGCTGCCGGGGGTGGGGCGTGGGGCGGGGCAGGGAGCGCCCAGGCTGCAGCACCTCGAACATGGTGGTGATGTCCGAGTACTTGGACTTCATCAGCTCCCCCCAGGAGGTGAGGTTGCAGTAGGTAAGGACGCCCCCCGGCTTCAGCAGGCGGAAGGCATGGTCCTGGCCGGGGTTGGGGGACAGTGATCAGGAGGGGGTGGGGATGGGCAGAGGCATTCCCAGCGGGCCTCCCGCCAGGTCAGGGGAATGCCGGAAGGAGAGGTGCCTCCTTTGTGGACGGCAGGCGCGCCCACTGGGCTGACCCCCACCTTAGGGCTGGCAGACCCCGTCCCACCGCAAGCGATCCTACCCGAATGAAGTTGAACTGGTGCGTGTGCCAGGTCTCCTCAGACAGCGGGTACGTGTCATACAGGATCCCTGCTCGGGAGGACAGAAGCCACGTGGTCAGGACGCTGGCTGCAAATTGAGGCGGCCGGGAACCCAGAGTTCGCTATGCTGCAGCTGCCCCTAGGAATTGTGTCCCACCTGGTCGTTCTTGAGGTGTCCACGCACCTGAGTGCCAGGCTCCTGTATGTGTGTCCGTGCCTGCCCCCCAGGCTCTGCCACCCCAGTGACACGTCAAGGCATGTGTGCCTCAGAAGCAGGCAAAGGGGGGGCTGGCAACCCAGGCAGAGGCCCCCCGCCCAGTGCCCAGAGCCCCTCACCATCGAAGTGACTGTCTGGCAGGGTGGGTGCCACCTCCTCCCACAGGCCTTTCAAGGGAACCACCTTGGCGCAGGGGAGAAAGAGAAGGCTGAGGGTCAAAGAGGGCCCAGGACTTCTCCACCTGTTGCAAGGGAGGGGGCAGAGGAACTCCCAAGAGAGAAGACCACCTCCCCCATGTCTGCAGCCACCCCAGGTCCCCAGCCCACTCTGCGGGCAGGGCCTTCCCCCTAAGGAGCGTGAGGAGCGGGACCTCGGGCAGAGGCGGGCACCTTGTGCTGCTGCCGCGGGGCCCAGTCTTGGAGCCGCTGGAAGACGCCCTCATTGCACTCGATGACCCAGTGCTCGTCGATGGGGGCCTCCTGCACCTTCGTAGCTGCGATGGCCATGCCAAAGCCCACCTCCAACACCCGGCCCCCTGGGCAGACAGAGTGCCCACGCCTTACACACTGGGTGGGGCTGGGGAGGCTGCCTGGAGGAGGGGGCGCGGGGGCAGGGCCTTGGCAGAGAGAAACGACTGCCACTAGGAGCGGCCACTAGGAGCGACCGGTTGGCAGAGCAAAGGTGGGGGGCGGGACAGAACACAGCAGCCCTGAGGGAACAGCGTGGGCCCGGGGCCAGTAGCCAAAGAGGGTGGCCTGCCGGGGGACTTTGAGCCCTGGCGCATGCTGTTTGCACTGAGGGCGCTTATCTCCTGATTTGGGCAGCATCCCCTGCCCGGCCCCAACAAACAATGAAGTCTACTAAGTAAGGGCAAGGGAGGACCAGGATTCAAGGCCCAGGCCTGGAACAGTGAGGGGCGGGGGTCGAGCCCCTTTGGGTCAAAGAGGAGGGGAGAAACGCCCTAACCATGCAGGGACACTGGCTGTGCCCATTTGCCAGATGGGAACACGGGCCCAGAGGTGGTGCACCCGGCCTCTGGGGGTCGTGGGGAGCCCTCGGCACCCCGCGGGCTCTGAAACCAGGTGCAGGGCCACCCCCACAGCTGTCTCCAGGCCTCAGCTTTACCAGAGCTATTCTTAGCCAGGGCAGGGCCTCCCGCGACTCCTGGGTAGGAGCATTACCCACGTGGGCCTGGGCAGCATCTCGCCAGGCCGCCACTCCCCTGTCCTCGACCTCGGGTGGGGTCCGGCGGCTGAGTTCCGCGTCTGAGAACCCATCCCCCGGCCCAGCCCGACCCCCTTCCCGGGGTCGGGGCCTCGGTGCCCCCCGGAGAGAGGGTTCCCGGTACTCAGGGCGCCCGCAGCGCCCCAGGACTACCCCGCTGCCCTCGCGAGCGGCCCCGTTTTCCAGGCGAGGAAAGAGAGGAGCGCAGAGGTTCCGCCACGTCGCTGGAGAGCGGGCGGGCGCCGGGTCCCAGTGGCCCCGGCCTCGGTCGACCCCGCGCGCCCGGCGGGGGCTACCTCTGGAGGCGGCGGCGGCCGCCAGCGCGTGCATGTAGGGGGTCTCCCAGCGCTCCATCACCGGCTTGCCCAGGATCTGCAGGTGCGTGTCCGACGCGTCGTAAGCCGCGGACGCCGCCCGCCACGCGGGGCTGCAGTTCTCTCCGGGTGCGAAGATAGGGGTCGCGGCGGGGGCGCTCATGCTGCGGGCTGGACGGCGCGCCCCGGGAGCTGGGGAGGGGAACGGCCGCGTCCCTGCAGGGCCTTCTGGGCAGGGGGCGGACGGGAGGCGGG